CCCCCCCCCCCCCAAAAAAAAAAGAAATTATAAAGTTAATTTAAATAAATATTTCCTTACTATAAGAAACAAGTGTGTTGCAATATTCAAAATCTTGTCAAAAAGTACTTGAATTTTGAAAAATAGTTGAGCATGAATAAATCATAATAAGCTATTCAAAAGTTACAGTCTACTAATTAAAAAGCTATCCATTCTCGATCTATTATCAATTCAAATCAAATACTAGGTTTGTTAATTGTTTCGTCTATTTGAGTTCCCTCTATGAAGAGTATTTGATTCTACCATATCTGGATCTTGAGAAGAAGATTTTTGAAATTTTTGTCAATTTGACCCTTTTTGGCCCCTCAAAATTCAAATTATTTTCAAAATACCCTTTTTTTTGTTATAAAATTGTAATTCAAAGTTTTAAACCATTTTGTAGTCCCACAAAGTCATATTTAATTAATAACCTAAATAACTTTCTGAGGGGAAATTTGAAAATACCAAATTTCGGTTTTTTTCAGTATTTTCTGGCTTAAACATATAAACCATGAAAATTACTGATCTATTATTACTACTCTAGTCCTTTATGATTTCAAGGTCTGACGCATTTTCACACATCAAAACCCTATTTATCGAAGTAGGTCGAGCGCACATAATAGTACAAACTTCATACTCCCTTGCACCAGCAAGTTACATAACAAATATCATATTGGGAAAGCTTGTTATTGCAAATTCCTTCTTAACTTTTAGAAAAAATTTCATAACTCAACACAGTGAAAGTACATCAAATGTAGACAGTGCAACAAGAAATGAATGTGCAATTTCACAAAGTCTTGTTATTTTTTTCACATCAATAATCCAAGATGGCTGTCGTGAGCACCATTTTGAAAATCTGTTTTTAACTTAAAACAAAGGATGCTAAATTCGATAAAACCAAACCAATATTCAAATTTCTACAGTTGTGCAGAAAGGATTATGATGAAAAATCATGGATATCTTAAGCATAAGGTTCTGAAACAAGAGGCCCAGGGGCCTTTATATAGCTCACCTGGTATTTTATTTTCAAATTTCAATTTGAAACCTGCTGAGTACCATAGCGGTTTATTAAAGAAGTACAAGAAGTACAAGTAGCAAAAAGAACTACATGCATATCTATTTCCCGCATTGGGCCCAGTCCTCTGCCCCAAGGGGGTCACAACCTCCATTTATACAAAATTTAGTCAATTGCCTGTAGATGATCTATAACCAATTTGGTGATAATTAGGATAAAATCCCTTTATCCCTATTGAATGATAAAAATAAACACCTCTATTTCCCCTATTGGGCTGCGCCCCTCAAAAGCCCCCAGGAGGGCCATAACCTCTGTTTATTATACACAATTGAGAACCCTTTGGCCAATGATGATCTAGACCAAATTAGGATAAAATCGCTTTATCCCTATCGAAGAAAAAGGATTTTAAAGGTTTTACCTCTACTTCCCCTAGTGGGCCCAGCCCCCGGAAGGCCACACCTCCGTTTGTACCAACTTGAGGCACTTTTGTCCAAAGATGCATTAGAACAAATTTAATAAAAATCCTTCTATTGGTTGAGAAGTTATTCTTCTACTAAACTCGTATAACTTTCTTCAAACTCATACTTAAACAAATATAGGATTTTGTTCTCGTAAGGAGGTTAGAATATTGGGAATTTATAAGCAGTGCTGTTGTAGGTAAACAGAACCATCATGGCTAGTACAGTGCTATGCTTCGTTATCAAAAAGTCCGAGAACACAGAAGCGTTTTAGGCAAAAAGGAAATTATAGTATATTTGTTTTTGTATAAATCTCATTGCTATGGTAGATGGACAAGCAACGCAAAGACAGAAGACAGTCAGAGAATTCATAACAAGGGAGCAGAAGAGAGTAATGGTATTCCGTCTTTGCGTATAGCAGAGTTATCTTCTCTTGGGAACAGGTATTGATTGTTACGTCATTGGTTTGTGCTAGAAAATTACGTCGTTTTCTCAAAAAATGATGACGTTACTCTCACAAACAAGTGACGTAACAATAAATACCTGCTCCCAAGAGAAGATAACATTCTGCAATACGCAAAGACGGAATAGAGGAGCTTGAGTTTCATTTAAATGAGAGTTCATCATTCTGTAATTAGAACGTTTACCTCGTTATGGCAGGAGATTTCAATGTAAGAGTTGGTACAGAGCAAGACGTCATTCTAGACGATGATACTGAACACATCGAGGTTGAGTATGACACAGATTGGTTTAATATTTTTCGAACATCCAGTTACATTGTTATTTATGGCATTGTGAAATTCCCGCTATCAGTGTGAAGCTATCCAGGCATACACATGTTAAATGGTATAGCTGGTGAGGATGAGTAGGTAGCTTTACTTTTGTCTCTCATGTGGATAAACGTATAAATTACTATTTCCTTACGTCAACAGACCTCTATAATCAGGTTAAACAGCTTCAGATTATCGGTAGAGATGAGTCGCATCACTTCCACTTCACTGCTGTTTGAGAACGGGTATATACAAAAGCTATGGATCACAAGAAGGTAAACGTTATCCTTGGAAAAGAATGAAATGGAAGCAGAATGTTTAAGCGACTTTACGATAGGACTAGAAAGCATGCTGTCTAACATAAAATCTAACAACAAAGAAACTCTTGTAACGAAAGGTATTAATGAAGAAATAAAGGTTTTAACTTCTGTAATATCTAAGACTGGTTTAACATGTGGTATTTCTGTAAACGAATGTGTTGACGCAGTTAGCTCAAATATGTCAGCGAAGCAGCCTTCATTGTGGGATAAACAAGTGAAGCATTAGAGGTTGAAAATACAAAACTATTTAATAAGTTTAGAATAACCAATTGAAATGCTGACAGGTAGAAGTAAACTTAAATAACATCTGAAAACAGCAACAGGTAGCAGCAGAAAGTAGATTTACATATAGACTGCCAATACAGGTGGTTCACAGAAGTACCAGTGATTTATGGAAAAGCATTCAACTTTTCAATAGAAAAGGTGTAACTTCAATAGACATATCTGCTGATGAGTGGTTTCATTATTTTAAATCTTTATCAAACAACACAAAATTCGAAATTGGTGATAATTTTAATGAAGAGGTAATAGACACTCTGAATGAGTTCGACTCTGGTAGAAACGATCGTATACAAATGGCATCCTAGATAACGATATCAATAAAAGTGACATTAAGGCTGTTACAAAGGGGCTACACGTGTTTAACTGCTTTTACACGTGTATAATACTACTACATTGCAAAATGTCAGGACACGATAAAAATTATCTCGTTAACGCTATCAAATATACATCCTGTATCAAATACCAACGCATAGCAGATGGGTGATTTGGCAATAAAACGTCAATAAAAGTTTCCGATCCCATTCTTTAAAGTTAATATCATGTTCACACCACAATGAACGTCATAGGTCGTGATCTACCACAATCAAGCAAATGCAAAATTATTGAAATAATGATTGTATGATTGATAATTATAAAATCAAATAATAGTGCCGGCAAACATTTGATGGACATATTTTGAACGTTAACACATTTTCCTGCAAATCCCGCTAAGAGTAAGAATGATTAAAAACCACTTACTAGTATACCGTGAGTTCGGGAGTCCTGAGAATGGTCTCTACTACTGCGTCTGCTCCTTGCTGATCTATTATCCTATATCAACCAGTAAAGCGGAGTGGTTGTAATGAGTTTGATGACGATATTTAGGCTGATAACAGCGTGTTGTTGATTGTTTTATATAATTACTATAACTGCACGTATCCACCACGGCGAGTGGGCGTTGTTGTACATGCCTTATTATTAAAAGTTTACACAAGGCTCTGTTGGGGGCAGTACGATGTTTACATACATCATACATACCAGGCTGCAACCTTTTCAGCCATTATAGTGTCGCATTATTGACTTTATTCCATATTTATCTGTAGCATATCTCAACCACAATGTCCATTTCAGAGTCTGTAAAAAAAATATCTGTTTAAACTTTATCTGTTGCAACTCTTAAATGCAAATAGCGGTACTTAATGAAACCCGAGCTGGCAACAAAGGTGGAATTTGTATTCGACAGGAATAACTTTATTTTTACTTATAGCGTTAAAGCAAAAGTAATTTAGAGTTTGTTTGATTTTGGTAAAAACTGGTATGTGTAGAGAGAAACACATTCTGTTGGAATTGATAACGATCGAGATAAGTGCGAAATCTTTGGATTTTCTTTTAATTTTTCGAATCACAAACATATCTTAGAAGAATCTTTAGTGAACTAAAAGATCATTCTGGAGTCACAAAAAATCACATATGAGTTCATACTCTCACAAATGCTACTGTTTCTAAATATTCATAATTTCGACCAAATTACCAAATGAATGACGCGATGTTCCAGTAATATCCTACAGTGTTTAAAAATGAATTTACAATCACGTCGCAGATTATTTATAAATAAAAACTAGTTAAGAACTGTAAACAGTAATTTATGAATGTAGAAATATGTCATCAAGATGAATAGGTATAATTCTCTTTTATATTTGTATGACAATTTATCATCGGATAATATGCAAATTATTAGGATATGTTTTAGCTAGCTGTTCGTCACGTTTCTAACCAAACGGTACAGGTAATTAACGAACGGCTATCAACACAAGCTGGTGCTGCTCCCGAACATTGACGTATCGAGCTATCACGTCAGTTGCGTGGTCAGGTTTTTTCCCCACGACCTCTCTTGTCTTTAAAATACAGAAACGCAGAACTTGGTTTTATTTTGTGAAACCCTCATGTGTCAGCATTAGTTCTAAAAAAAGTATACTTATATAGCATAGAATTTACAATTGTGTATTGATATAAAACTTTCATTCGAGGTAAGTATTTATATGTGATTCCGTTTAGTTGCTGTGTTTATGACTTATCATCTATTAGTACATATTTACTACCTTGGTATAATTTTGTATTACATAAACACTTCCAGGAATTTCGAGCTAGCCATCACCAGAGTCGGCTCTCTCAGTTTCTGAATGTTTTTTTTATCATGTCCTTAACTCATAGCTTCAATTACATCAATATTGTGGATTTTAAAAAGTTCCTGCATATCATGTAGTTCAAGACTGAATCGTGATTTAGTGGAACTACTAGCCTACTAGACGGCGTTGGCTTTTTCAAACCTTCCATTATTTCTATAAGTGTGAATTTCTTTTTACATCGGAAACAGCTACAGCTATTCTCCGCATGTTATACACTGCCACGACACTTAAAATGTGCCTTACTTGTTACTTAAGTGCGGTTGCTCAGACCGGAAGTACATACGACTTACAAAAAAACGTAGTCACGAGACAGGCGGGACAAACATTAGAAAGAACGTCGGTTTCTGGGCTAACTATAAAGGCAGGGCCGCATTCGTTTATCGCTATCCAAACGGTTGAACCGGCCGGACAAGAATTTTTCATTTATGAAACAAGGTCCGTACGAGCCTTGACAAAGCCTTGCACAGCATGCATACATTAATGAAAATGCAATTTTTAAAGAAAATTGTCTGAAGATTCAAAAGTTATTGATGTGTTTCTTATCATCAGGCGGTCATTGTTATATATGAACTTTTTAGTTTAAAATTTCTGAGCATATGTACCTACAACAGTTAACGTGTAGTTGTTCTTACGATACTACGTCGATACTTCATGTACGTAGGCTATAGGGACTCGATCGTTGTCAAAGTATAATTGATCTCGGTAATATGCCAGCTTAATATCTAAATAATACCCCGGGGGGTCATATATTATTAACACACAACTAATGTAAATGTTAAGCCACCTGATTAAATGTAAGTGTATCATTGATTCCA